TGATCTACGCGCAGCAGGACATGGTGAAGCAGCTGGAGAGGTTGGCCGGCTGGCAGGACACGCTCACCAAGCTCTACGTCAAAGAGTCCTACGAGTCCCGCCAGCACAGCCTGAGCATCACGGGCAATGGGGGCTGCCTGGAGCTCCTCCGCCTCTCAGACCCCTCCGGCAAAGAGGGGACGAGCCCGCCGCCGGCCGAGCTGCAGGAGCTGGACGTCTTCCTGCCGCTGGGCTACGAGGCCTCAGACCAGGAGCTCTCTGAGGGCTTCTCCGACCACTCCATCTCCCCGAGCGGCCGCACCAAGTCCTTCCACTCCTACAACTTCAAGTCTTTCGACTCCTCCGACCGGACCAGCCGCTCATCCTCCAACCCCGGTGATGGTCCTCCCTTCGATGGTGTCTACCACCCGCTCTCGCCCTTCTCCACCTCACCCTTCGACCTGGGGCTCGACCTGGCTAGCACCAGCTCCATCGCCACAGCCGAGAGCGGCACGCAGACCCCTGCCAGCGGCCCTGGCACCCCCTCGCCCCTGGAGAGCTTTAAGCCCTTCCCAGGGATGCGAGCACGCAAGAGCTCCAGCCTCTCAAACGTCCTAGATGAGAGCAGCTACCAGGACGTGCTGCCCAGTGACAACATTTCCAACACCAGCAATCCCCAGGTGAGCCCCAAACCATCGTGCCCACCACCCTGGGCTACGCTGGACACTGGACCTCTCACCCTTCCTCCCCGTTGGCAGCAAACACCCGAGGAGGAGCTGTGCAACCTCCTGACCAACATCGTCTTCTCGGTGACCTGGCGCGGGGTGGAGGGCTGGGATGACGTGGCGTGGAGGGAACGCGGGCAGGTCTTCTCCGTCCTCACCAAGCTGGGGACGGCGTGCGAGCTAGTACGGCCCCCTGATGAGATCAAGCGCAGGTGAGTCCTGCCTAGGTCTGGAGCGAGGTCCAGGGGGTGCACCCCAAGTGGGGACCACCCTATGGAGCTGCCTGCTCTCCCGCAGCCTGCTGGAGATGATGCTGGAGTCAGCGCTGACGGACCTGAAGGAGTCGGGGCCGGCCGCCCTGCCCGGTCTCACCCACAATGCCCTCAAGCTGCTGCGGTTGCTCCAGGACTTCTTGTTCTCTGAGGGACACAACAACCAAGCCCTGTGGAGCGAGAAGGTGGATGGGCACGAGCAGGGGGTCCTGGTCCCAAACCCAAGCTCTGAACCCTGATGCTAACCCCTAGCCTCTGATGTTAACCCTGACCCAAAACCCTGCCCCTACCTGCAGCCCTTGAACCTAACCTTACAAAATGACCTGTGCCTTAATCCTAAACCCTAACCCATAACCAGTAAATCCAACCCTAACCACTAAACCTAACCCTAAACCTTAGCCCTAGCCCTGTGCCCTAGCCGTAAACCCCAAAGCCTTAACCGTAACCCTGCACCCGTGCTGTGAAGCCCAATCCTATACTCTAGCCCTAACCCCTAGCCCTAACCCTTAACCCTACCCCTACACTATTACCCTAAACGCAATCCTATACTCTAACCCTAATGCTAAGATCTGACCCTAAAACCTATCCCTAACTCATAACCTGTAAATCTGACCCTAACCCTTGCTGTAAACCCTAACCCTGATCCTAAATCTTAATCCCTAATCCTAAACTTTAACCTTAACCCTACACCCTTACCATAAACCCGACCCCCTAGCCCTATACCCTAAGCCCTAACCCTAAACCAAAACCCTAACTCAGAACCTGCAAATCTAACCGTACCACCTAAATCCAAATCCTAAACCTTAACCCTAGATCCTTGCCGTAAACCTCAGTCCTAACCCCAATTCTATACCCTAGCCCTGACCCCAGTCCTAACCCTTAACCCTAACCCTACACCCTTACCATAAACCCAACCCTATACTCTAACCCAATACACTAAGATATAACCCTAAACCCTATCCCTAACCCTTGCTGTAAACCCTAACCATACACTCTTGCTGTAAAACCTAATCATGATCCTAATTCCTAACCCTAACACCTAATCCTAAACTTTAACCTTAACTCTACACCCTTACTGTAAACCCAAAACCCTAGCCCTATACCCTAAGATCTAACCCTAAACCATAACCCTACTTCATAACCGTTCCTCCTAAATCTTAATCCTAAACCTTAACTCTACATCCTTGCCATAAACCTCAGCCTTAACCCCAATCCTATACCCTAGCCCTAACCCCAGTCCCAACCCTTAACCCTAACCCTACAACCTTACTGTAAACTGAAATCCTAATCCTATACCCTAAACCCTAACCTTAAGTCATAATTTATAAATCTAACCATACCTCCTAAATCCTAATCCTAAACCTTAAACCCTACATCCTTGCCATAAACTTCAACCCTAACCCCAGTCCTATACCCTAGCCCTAACCCCAGTCCTAACCCTTAACCCTAACCCTACACCCTTACCATAAACCCATACCCTAAGGCCCAACCCAGAACCCTAACACCACACCCTAGCTAGTTTGTCATTAGGATTATGAGTGGGGCTCGACCCCTAAACCCTAATCCTAACCCCTACCCATAACCCAAACCCATATTAAGTAAAGCCGAGGGTGGCTGGGTGATGGGGACAGTCCTGGTGGCTTTGCGCCCGGCAAGCTGGAGAGGTGGGAGGGTGTGTGGCGGGGCGGGGGGCTCACTGTGCCCCCCCAGATCTACGAGGGGGTGAGCAGTCTTCTGGACAAGCTGGGCGTCTGGTACCACCTGGCCAACGGCACCTCCGACCTCAAGGAGATGGCCCAGACGGGTCTACGTGTCCTCGTGGGCTACATCATGCTGCAGGACCCCCAGGTGGGTCAACCCTTCCTGGGGCTCAGGGTGAGACCCCAACCCTTGGGGCAAGGCAGGTGGCCCCATCTGATGTCCCATGTCCCACCCCAGCTGCACTCGCTGGCGTACGTGAAGCTGCACAGCCTGCTGCAGACCGCCTCGGCCCCCAAAAAGGACGAGGCTTGCTACC